CACAGCTATCAGGCAGAAACTGAGGAGTTACTCCTCTGAAGAGGTTGAAATGGCCACAAGTGCCCACACCATCCACAGTCCCTGTGTGAGTTTCAGTTCCCTTGTCAATGATGAGACCATTTGTAAGCCATTGTATTGAATGAGGTTTTGCTTGGACATTATCTGGTACATTATAGGAAGTTACAGGATCTTTGTTGGGTGACCATGTTGTAACTAACTCCCCAGCCACTCAGGAGCTGCTAAGTCACATCCTCTTTCCCGGCCTCTGAAAACTAAACAGGGATTCAGAAAGTCTGATGTGAATGAATCAATGCCACTGAGTGGGTTGTTTTTGTTGTTGTTGTTATTGTTTTTTTTTTTTTTTTTTTTGGTTTTCAAGACAGGGTTTCTCTGTATAGCCCTGCTCTCCTGGAACTCACTCTGTAGACCAGGCTAGCCTCAAACTCAGAAATCCACCTGCCTCTGCCTCCCGAGTGCTGTGATTAAAGGCATGTGCCACCACTGCCCGGCCCACTCAGTAATTATAGAATTTAGAGAAAAATAAAAATAAATGAGAATTGAACTAGAAGGAATTCAAGGGCTAAAAAACACAATAGCAAAAGGATTTTTGGTCATAAAAAATAAAGAAACAAAAAAGGATCTTAAAAAAGTGACTGGCAGGAGACTAGAGGGATGGCTCAGCCACTAAAGGGCAGGCTGAAACTAAAAATATAAAAGTGACTAATAGAAAAAAAACAAAAACAAAAAGCAAGGTGACTAAGAGAGTCCCAGAGAGACGGCTCAGTGGTTACGAGCACTGGCTGCCCTTCCAGAGGATCAGAGTTTGATTCCCAGAACCTACCAGGACCAACTGTAACTCCAGTTCCAGGGGATCCAACGTCCTCTTCTGGCCTCTAAGGGCACTGTACACACATGGTACACAGACATACTTGCAAAAAAAAAATCTATAAATATTTTAGTTTTTGAAGTAACTAATCTCTAGGGAAGACTGTATTAAAAGTAAGTAAAAGTAGCCAACAGAGAGGTTAAGCACAGAAGATCTCACTTCTGGATAACGGAGCTGCTGAAAATCCTGAACCCTCTGGTTAAGCCACCCAACCACACATAGAAATGCGGGGATTTCTTTTTGTTTTAAAATTGCTCTGATATTTTTAAAATAGTAAAAATTTCTAAGTCATTCATTTCAAATTGAATTGTATAGGTTTTTATATTTTATTTTTAAATTTTTTTGTTTTTTGGTTTTTTGTTTATTTGTTTTTCGAGACAGGGTTTCTCTGTATACCCCTGGCTGTCCTGAAACTCACTCTGTAGATCAGGCTGGCCTCGAACTCAGAAATCCACCTGCCTCTGCCTCCCAAGTGCTGGGATTAAAGGCGTGCGCCACCACTGCCCGGCTTAGATTTTTATATTTTATAACTAGTAAACGGGCTTGGGGTGGCAAATAACTCTTCTTTCTCCCCATTTGGTTAGCTTCAGGCTCAGTCCTTCCCAGAAAGAAGGCTACTGAAGACAGGAGTCAGGGTCAGGTGAAAACTCTCCGTACGCTTATCTTTCTCAAGAATGTGGTCCTGCTCTGTTACTTCGGCCTTGCCCTGTCACTATGGTTCTCAGCTTGGTTCCACCTGGCTAAATTGCATTCTAGCCAGTTCCCGTAATTAGTCTATCCACATTCTTAACTTGCTTCATGCCTCCATGTCTTTGTAAAGAAACCCTAAAGAATATTTTATGTCTAAAAAGGATTCTATATACCCAGTATCTATAATTTTTCACTCTACACTACTAGCTCTACTTTTTATTTATTTATTTATTTATTTATTTATTTATATTTATTTACTTATTTACATTTCATGTAAATTGGTGTTTTGCCTACATGTATATCACTATGAGAGTGTCAGAACCTTTATTGTGGGGCTTTCAGGGTCCCACTTGAGGTACTAACAGTAAAGACACAGGGACATCTGTATAGTCTAAAGCTGTTGGCCTTTTTGCTGGGGTAGCCTCTCAGCTAGCCTATCTACCTAACTTAAGCCAATTCCTCCGCCATAGCATCTCTCCACATGACTCTCACTGCTCTGCCTCCCTGCTCTGCCTCCCTGCTCTGCCTCCCTGCTCCAGCCCTGTCTCCCTTCTGTCTACTCCCCTGTCCTTCCCCAGCTCCAGCCCCAGCTCCAGCTGCCAACTCTTTATTATGTAAAGAGCCACAGTCCTTACCAATCCAGTTGGCATTGAGGAGGTCAGGGCTATATTTCCTTCAAGAAGGCAACCAGCCTTTTCTTTGTGCACAGATGAGGACGTGATATTTACATAGCCTGGTAGCCTGCCGTGCCAGCACAGCAATTAACAATTGAGAACACAAGGAAGACAGTTAATATGTGTGCATTTTCCCAACACCTCCTAGAACTGTGTCAGGTGTGAGCTGCCATATGGGCTCTGGGATTGAACCTGGGTCCTCTGGAAGAGCAGTCAGTGCACTTAACCACTGAGTCATCTCTTCAGCCCAGGTCACAAGCTCTTAACAGAATGAAATTAGCCTTTGCAGGAGGAAAATAAGAGACATTTACTTTGAAGGACTGCTCCCTGGATATCCAGCATCTCTTGCACAGCTACATTTAGTGAATGGGGCAAGAAAGGGAATTCGAAACACAAGGGGGAGATTTTCCTGTGTGGTGTAGGGAGCACATGTCTCAGGATAAGAGCAGGCCACTGTTCTAAATATCCAATCCCAGGCCTTGACAAAGACTTGGAAAAGTTCAGTCCACTGGTAGGTAAGCTCAGACTCCTCCCTCTTCCCCAGTGGACAGGCTGTACTCCTTGGGACCATGTGTTTCATGGGGGTCAGAACTCTCAAGAAACCAATGTTGAGAGGAGAACCATGGGAAAACCCATGTAAGATTCTGTAAAGGTACACACACAGATTTTCACCCTTTCCAATACTACACAGGTTTTCTACAAAGGTAGATTTAAGCCTATGACACAGATGGTCAAAAGAAACCCACAGGTCAAGAGCATACCCAACTGCAGGATTGTGAGAAAAAGGCTGCACCACAGAGCTCTCCATCTGGACACTCGAGATGTCCAAGTAGTGTCCAAGGCCATAGAAGTAGTGTCCAAGGCCATAGAAGGCCCTGGAGTGAAACAGATGTGGGAGAAAGACCCCAGAACCCTGTGAATAGCAAGAGTTTGAACAAGTGTCTCAGCCTCAGTGTTGAGTAACTCAGCTGTAAAGGAGGACACTACTGTAAACGGTTTATTCCCACCAATGTATTGAAACTGAGTCCTGAGCAGTCATCCACCTTTCAAATAACCTGCCAGCAGGGCCATATGAGCTCTTGTGAGCAGGAGTGCCGTCTCATTTACAGCCAACAGATCTCATTGCACTGAGATGCCTCAGAGATCTTTGCTCTGACATAGTGACCAACAAGGTCTTAGAACTGGTTGTACCTGTCTCAGTACCTGAGCAGTGGAATGAACCATCTCCCCATTGATTTGAGATGAATTTGTAATATGAACAAGAAATACAACACTGACGTTTTATGTTGGGACTCTGGATTTGATGGAAGGCATAAAATAACATACTGCCCTTTCAAACAGCACTGACAAATTCAGAAGACTCTGTTTGGAGCCAGGTTGCTCCCAAGGCTTGCTCAGAGGCCCTGAGGAAAGGACAAATAGAAGTAGATCTGTGTCCTTGTCCAGGGGCAGACTTGGCAAACTCCAGTCTGGGACCAGGGTTAGGGCCTTGGAGGAAATAAGGTTTTGGTTTCTGGGAACCTGGTTTTTTCCTGTGAAGAGACCAGAGCTCTCAGTCCCAAGGCTGCTGTGTTCAGTGCATAAGGTAACATTACTTGACTAGCTGCCTGTAGACTTCATCTCACTGTATGATAGCTTTCTGCTGACTCTGTCCCATCCTCCCCTACCCCAAAAACTGTATATAAGGTTCCATACTTCTTGCTGGGCCTAAGACATAGCTTATGCAAGACCCCTTGATCCTGAACTTTCCTATCTCTGCAGTGTCTCCCTCTCAAGAACCTGTCTCTGAACAGCAGCCTGCTGGCTTCAGTCCTTGAGTACCTTGTTTTCTGCTCCACTTTGCTCATTTAATTCCCCAGCATCCACTAAGCGAAGAGTAGAGCCAGGCACTGTGCTAGATGCTTCTGTCTGGTAGTCAAGCTTCATGCTTAGCCACTCCCTGTCCTAATGGGTATTCAAGCAGTACGCCTGGAAGAACTGGTTACTAGTGCTCTGCTTACAAGTCCTTCCTGGGCACTGGACTACGACAGGAAGCAGAGGTCTAAGGAACTGAAACTTGGGGCTGGAGAGATGCTTAGTGGTTAAGCGCATTAGCTACTCTTCCAGAGGACGTGGGTTCAATTCCCAGCACCCATGTAGGGGCTCACAACTGGTTTGTAACTCCAGTTCCAGGGGATCCAACACCCTTTTCTGACCTCTGAGGGCATCAGCATACAAAGACATTAAAATGTACCTGTTCATAGACCCCTCCCCATAGACCCCTTACTTACTGTCCCATAAACATGTTGTTTTCTGTTCTTATGCCTCTGCTCACTGTGACTCTACCACCAAATCCCTTTACGACTCTGCTGAACGTGGATTCTACTACGAAATCCCATGCTTTCAGCTACGTACTTGGGACTCATCTGTAATCACAGGACTTGGGAGGCTGAAGCAAGGACATTGGTTTAAAGCTAACCTGGGCTATATAGAAAGGTGCTGACTCAAAGAAATAAATCAAAACAAAAATCCATTCATCTTATAAGAGTATGTCTAAGTGTTTATTTCTGTGAGGGTTTCTCCAGGTATGAAGTGCTGGGCATCCAGGTCTTACCATGCTGCCCAGACTGATGCTGCCCAGACTGGCCTCCAACTCCTAGATTCAGTGACCCTCACCTAAGCCCTCCCCTTGCCTGCCCCACCCTCACCTTTCCTCCCCAGTTGGTTTTAGTCATGGTGATGATCAGTACGCAGGAAGAAAGAGCCAATGATACACGCTAAGCATCCTCACTGCACTTTACTTTCAGGACTGGGCTCTCAGGGCCCCACACATGCGAGGCAAGTGTTCTACTACGTGCCTGACACCTCAGACCAACTCTTAATTCTTGTTAATGGATGATGAGGCTTCAGTGTGAAGACAATGAGTTTCTTGCTGATGCTGGCCATCCTGCTTTCCAGTAGTTGATGTTGTGTCCAGAAGAGCCACACCTCGAGGCTTCAGTGTGAAGACAATGAGTTTCTTGCTGATGCTGGCCATCCTGCTTTCCAGTAGTTGATGTTGTGTCCAGAAGAGCCACACCTCCCCAGCAGTTAGAGAGCTGAAAAATAAAAGTGAGGTTCAAGATAAAGATCCCGGAGCTAAGAAGCAGAAAGGATCTTCAACTTCAGTATCAGGGCTGCCTGCTGCTCCCAAGCCACAGATCCTGAACTTACCCACAATGCAGAACATTAGGGTATGGCAATGCCTACGTTTTTCCTCTACTTTTCTCGAAACCCAGATGACCTTCTCCAACCTGGACCCCCAAGATTTGTTCACTCCTCTTTCACCCACTTCCATGTGGCACCATTGTATTAAGGTGGAGGTATGATAAGATATGGAGGGACTTAAAAAGATCTGAGACTAGGGAGATGGTCTAGTGGATAAAGTGTTTGCCACACAATCATGAGGATTGGAGTTTAGATCTCCAGAACCTACATAAAAGCCATGTGGATGTGGTGACCCCACATCCCCATGCTTGTAACCCCAGAGCCCAGCAGAAAGAAATAAAGGATAAACTCAGGGCAAGCCAGCTAGGTGAACTAGCCAAATCAGTGAGCTCCAGATTCAGCAAGAGACCTGGCTTCAGTAAATGAGGTGGGTAATGATAGAAGACACCTGATTCAGCCTCTGGCCTCTGCATGCCTATACATGTGTACAAACACGCACACCCACACCTCCCACGTACGTACGTGACCATACATACACACAACACAAAGAAAAAGATCTGGGAACTTGTTGGAGAGAAGCTCCTCATACTCAAGATGTTTTAAATGGAGATGAAACATTCCCTCAGGCAGGGAAGCTTCATGAAGACACAAGTAAACAACTCAAAATGCTTCAGGAAATTCCTGAAACTTACCAGATTTACTAGCCCCTCCCTCTCCAAATTGACAGAAGAACTTGGGACTGTTGAGAAAATTTCTCAGACCAGCTGAGCTGCCTGGAAGAGACACTTTCCAACCTGTCAAGCGCCTGCCAAGTTGTGCATGAGCTCCAGGTTTCCAGCTGTTTTGAGCTATTACTCATGTGATGCTTCTGGTGATACAGCTGTCTTTGAGTTGTTTCTGTTCCTGTAAGAACCCCCTCGCCCATACTTCTATAAATAAACCCAACAAATTCCATAGTTTGCTGAGGTACACTTTGGATGTATCATTTCTTTGACCTGTTGGTTCCCTCTCTGGGGCAAGTAGACATTTATTCATGTCTCCCAGGGATAGTGACACAAAACAGGCCTGGAAAGCTAACTGTAGTAGTTGAAACAAGAGGTTAAACATAAGGGCATGAGGAAGGACACAAAGATTAAGGCAGATCATGACAAACCAGGGAGCTTAGATTTTCAAAAGTGGTGTGGGTGGGTGTGTTTTGAGATAGACTTGGATTGCACTTGCTTAGTGATACAATGTTGTGGGGAAAATTTAAAAAAGGCCGCCACAGCGGCGCAAGGTTGTGCCGCCGTGGCGGGTCCCACATCAGGGAAGAGGATCCTATGGTTCCAGCGGCCTAAGGGCCTTGGCGGCGGCGGGCCCCAGTAACACGAAGAAGTCCTTGGTTCTAAAAAGATTTATTGTCATAACGGATAATAGATGGATCTAGGCGTACCCCCTCAAAACTCAGGGCAGTCCCGAGTTATATAGGGAGGGAGAAGGGGGAGGATTAGGGGAGGATCTGGGGGAGGAATGTTTAATTTGCTCTGCCCTCTGGCCTTCATTAGTATGTAAATCTCTAGGGCCTGAGGCCTAAAGCCTGGCCTATGTGACTCTATGGAAATGTGACTGTTTTCAGGATCCTAGATGATGGGAGGGACCGAACTCCTGCCAGTTCTCACGCAGAATTCCACGGAGAATCTCGGGGTTCTAAGTACCTGCTCAACCATGACCCAGGATACCCTTATACAGTCCCACACAATGTAGAAGATGAGGGGGAGGAAAGTGTGATAGTGTTGGGATTTATAGCCTGGATGGGTGTTTTAATTCTTTGTCTTGTTGCTATAACAAAATGCCGGGCAGTGTAACCTAAGGGAGGCATGGTTTATATTGGCTTACAGTTCTAGAGCACACAGTCCACCCTGGCAAGACAGGGATGGTGGAAAAAGAGGTTTGGCAGGTTGTACTGCATCCTCAGGCAGGATGCTGGGAAGAGGAGTGCTGGCACCCAGCTTGGTTTCTGCTTTTTATGCAGTCCAGGATCCCAGCTAATGGAACAGTACTGTGTACAAAGGGACAGTACTGCACACAAAGGGACAGTACTGCACACAAAGGGACAGTACTGGCCACAAGGACCCTAATCTACATGGTTAGGCATGCCCAGAATTGTTTCCAAGGTGACTCTAAATCCTACCAAGCTGACAACCAAAGTGAACCCTCACAGTGACTGAGGGGTAGGTTTCTTTATCCTCTTCTACCTCCTCCTTTCCATCTGGGATTAAATTTAGAGCATTGTGTATATAAGACAAGTCCTCAGCCACTGAGCTATGTCCCCAGCCCTTTTGCCTTTTTAACTTCTCTCAATTTCTCACAAAGTTGCCCAGGCTGTCTGTAACACTGCACTCCTCCTACCTCCACTACCTCAGTAACTGGGATCACAGCCTGCTCCTTCAAGTCTGGTGACTGGGTAACTTTTGTTTTGTTTTATTGATACTGAAGATAAAACCCCAGACCTATGAATGAATTTTTGTTTTGTCTGACTTTGTTTTGTTTTTGTTCCCCCCCACCTCCCGCCCAACAAGGCAAGATCATAGCTCTGTGTAGCCTTGGCTGGCCTGGTCACACTAGACCGGGCTGGCCTCAGACTCAAAGATCCACCTGCCTCTGCCTCCTGAGTGCTGGGATTAAAGGTGTGCTCTACCATGTCCAGCTTCTGTGTATAGATTTCTTAATCGTATTGAAGACCCATGTGCTAGGTCCCATCCCAGACCACAGGCACAACGATGAATAAGCTAGGTATGCTCTCAACTCTCAAGAAAATTAGCCTAGCAGCGGAAGGAACAGGACAGAGAAACTCACATAGCATGACTTAATTAATTATGACTATAAATGGCTGAAATAGAGCACTGCAGGACTCTGCCCTTGTATGAAGTCAGAGGCAAGTGTGAATGGCAATGCCATTTGTCACAGCAGAGAAGCATACTGGGCCACTAGTATCCTGGAGAACCACTTTAGCTTGGGAGGCAGCAAAGTTGAGGTACCTCGCTGGGGATTTGTGAAAGAGGGAAAGGAGGGCTGCACAGGAGAGGGGGGCACATGGCAGGAAGTGTTTCAAATGCACAACCTTCTCCTCAGATGAAGATACCAAACCTCCATGGAGGGCTTCCCAGGGCAGTGTCATGTTCAGTTGTCTGTACTGGACTAGACCACAAAAGAGTCTGAATCGCACCCACACCACCACTGCCTGGCCTGCAGTGTTCCAATCGGAGGTCTCCACCGAAGTGTCTCTTTAATTTAGAAGGGCTTCGCTCTGTGGGATGTGTGATATGATGTTAGAATGTAGAAGCCAGTGCTCTTAACTGCTGAGCTCTCTCTCCAGCACTATAAAAATAAAAAAGTGAACCAGGCAGTGATGGGGCACATCTTTAATCATAGCACTTGGGAGGCAGAGGTAGGTGAATCTCCAAGTTCAAGGCCAGCCTGGTCTATAGAGTGAGTTCCAGGACAGTCAGGGCTACACAGAAAAAATACAACAAAAACAAAACAACAACAACAAAAAACGAAAAAAAGAAGCAACTCCACCCCAATTCTAGTTGGGTGAACCCATGGTTTTAACCAGGTTACTTAGAGAAATGTGGGCAGTGGTCAGCCAGTTGTACCATGGAAGGAGACTCTCCTGTGAGCCACTGTTGGTTGCTTAGATATTCTTTGGGAGGGGTGGAGCCTTGTGAGTCCCACCCCCTCCCCCCACATGGGAATGTTAGCCAGTCCAACCTTATGAGGGTCTTGTGAGTGCAAATAACTACAATTGTCTGACTCCAAGACAGTAACTGTCCTGTCAGGCTGGAGGTCCACAGCTACCTGTTCAACCTCTCAGTGAAAACGTTCTACTGTCAACAAGAGAATGATTGTGCTGACCCAGTTAGCATCCCAGGTCCTCCAGTCTACCTCAAAAAGGGACTGGAGAACAAAGATGAGAAAGCAGCGGTCCAGAGACTGGGAAGATTTTCCAGCAGGCCACCGCTAACATGTCTGCTGTGGAAAGGACAGGACACAGTGGAGCTGACGGGGTAAAGACATGCAGACTGGAGGACATAAAGGGAGATTCCGGGAGGGTAGACCTGACGGGGGCTAGGGAAGCCGTGAAGGGTGAATCCGACCAAAGCACACTGTATAAATGAATACATTCTCAAGGAATTAACTAAAATACTATAAAATAGAAATTTATTTTCAAGAGAGGGTCTAGCTGGCACAGAACTTGCTACATAGACCAGGCTGGCCTTGAACCCACAAATATCTGCCTGCCTCCGCCCCCATAAATGCTTGGATTAAAGGCACATACCAACACACACACTTGCACACACACACACACTCTCACATACATACACTCACTCACACATACACAACATATTTTTAACAATGGGAGGGAAATAGCCTGCAGTACAAAGTAAAAGCTGATTTGATAATAAAAGAACTAAAGTATAGAAACCTGGGGAAATGGTTTGTACTTTCAACTTATGAAATAAGAACTCTTGGGCCAGCAAGATGGCTCCGAGGACAAAGCAACTTGTTGTCTTTATCAGTTCAATCCCCAGGACCCACATGGTAGAAGGAGAGAAGCAACTCCCTAGGGATATCCTCTGGCCTCCCACACTGTGCCATCTCTCTCACATACACACACACATACACACACACACTCACACATGCACACACACTCACACACATACACATTTATACACTCACACACAACAAATGCATACACATACACACAGATCTACATGCATGCATGTTCAAAAGAATAAAAAATAAGTGCTCATGGGATGGGCGAGAGGAAGGATGGCAGCTTGTAAGCCCATGTGTCCAGTCAGGAGGATTTTCCATACAAAGGCCTCTTCAGCAACCCTTTGTTCATCTATTAAAGCCCTCATCACAGTGCAGTCTGACTGTGTGCTAGCTGCTCTCCTCTGTGTACTCGTATTTGCCACTGCCCATGGGAGGTACTTCGGCCCAGATGTGGTCTTTCATACAATCCCACAAGCCAAAGCAGGCCTTCCCACATAGCTTCTGGAACTTCCCAGGGTCTTGACACGGGAAACCCATCACTGAGCCCAGGTGATAAGTTAGTGCACAAGAAAGGACAGATGCAGACCCTCTACTCCCCGCCTGACTTAGTCTGGGGCAGCTTCCTGCTTACCAGTAATTAGAGGCTCCCCTAGGAGACCAGTGCTCCCGGGAGAGGAGAGGTTAATGTTCTCACAAGAACCCATTCTGGCTGAGCCATTCCCATGCACAGATTTATGCAGGGAAAGTTACTGTTGAGATTCGAAGTCATTTTTCTTCAGTGAAAGCTAGAAGCCCAGAGCTTACAGTAGAAGGCATAGCCAGCTCGTAAATCCACAGTGCCCGGGCCTCTGAACAGCCCCTCTTATTGGCAAAGCGATGGATGCTCTGCCAGGGAGGCAGCCAAGAAGCTGTTCATCACTATCTCATTTGGAGACCTGACACCTAAATGGAGCTACCCCAGCTCACAGATCTGCACACAGCCCAGAGGGGCCAGCGCTGTGCAGACCAGACTGGATGCACAGGCCAGAGTGCCAGCTCTGTGCAGACCAGATTGGAAATCTCTTCCCAGACCCTGCACTAACTATCCAGAGGGTCACAGCACCAGGAGTAGTGCATCCGGCTCCTTTGTACTAAGATGCAAAAAAAGAGCCTTAAGTCCCTGCTCAGGAGTCAGGAGCACTCATGCACTTGATGGTAGGCAGTCTAGACTCCAGAGACAGTGGCTGCCTGTGTTCTCTCTTTCCGTCTCTAGCAGGACTCAGTGTCTTCTTCTCAGAAATGCTTGCCTCTGAGGTACCACCGTGTTCCACTGAACAGCCCAGATGGTTCCCTTCCCCAAGCCATGAGAAGTGGACAGATCTTTCGGAACTAGTTGCTTGCACTTACTGTCAGAACCCAATTCAAACCAGACTCTCCTGTGAAGCCTGTGTCACTCCCTCCTGTACCCTACAGGGCTCAGCTAACAACCTACTTCACTAACTACTCTCTGCCTTGAGATCTGGCTTTCTAGGTCCCATCGAACTGCCCCAGTGAGGGTATGAGAGGCAATGAATGTCTGAGCTCGATGTAAAACTGCCATCCCTGTGTGCCCTCATCTAGGTATGCCCTCACCTCACAAAGGCTGGTTCACCCTCCTAGCATGCATTACTCACCTGTGCTGTTCATTCCAACCAGGCCCCAGGCCTGCTGCTAGGGAGGCCAAATCAAAGACTTTGTCCCATCCCCAAGAACTCTGGCCTAAGGACAGGTCCAGCCCTGCAAGGCTATCTCCAGCAACATCCGAGGAGTCCATCTGCAGAATGAGTGACGTGATACAGGTTGATGCTAAGTGAGCCACACTGACCCACTGACAGAGTGAAAAGAGAATACTAGAACCTCTATTTACATTTCCACAAAAACTTAAGTTTCAATAGTTACCATATGGATTGACAAAAGTATGTCATAATAGTAATGCATACATCACTCGTTTGCACTGGGTAAGGAATGGAAGAGGGACTCAACGGTGGATGTCTCATGCCCTTATATAACTCCCTCCCCACTCCACTGTGGACTAGACCTGTGACTTGCTTTTAACCAACAGAACAAAGCAAGGGAAAGACTCATTTTCGGGTCTATGCTATCTAAGGCAGTCAGTTCCATCTTGCTAACAGATTCTTATGGACCCCTTGTCCACTTCTGGCTTTGATGAAGTATGCAATCATATGAAGAGGGGACCTATATGACAAGGGGCTGACGGTGGCCTCCAGACAACAGCTTGCAAGGCTCCCTCATTCTCATCAGCCACAAGGAACTAAACCCCACCAACGATCCTAGGAGTAAGGAAGTTCTTCCCCAAGTCTGGCTTCTGGATGAGCCCCAGCTCCAGCCTACACATGCCACAGCCTTATAAGAGGACCTGAAAGTCAGGAGGAGCCAGGGGAGCTGTGCCCAGATTCCCCAGCCCACAGAAACTGGGGGAAGGCAGCAACAGACACAGGATCAGACTCACCATGAGCAAGACAAGTAGTCAAGAAGCAGGTGCCTTGAACTACAGCTCTCAAGACCAAACAAGAGGGCACCACATTATGAATGGCAGCAGCGTGGCCCATAGGTTTCAGAGGTAGAAAGAATGTTGGGAAGGATGGGCAAAGATGGAGGCTGCCCCTCTGAGACCTGGGTTCTGGTCCCAGTTCTGCTTCTCAGCAGCAGGTGACCACAGTCAACTACACATAGTCACATTCCTCATCTACGCAAGCAGACGGACAAGGCTGGGAAGAGATGGCAGTGAGAGAGAAGGCTGGGGAACCTTCTGTGCAATAGGGTGTGATAGGCGTGTTTGCCACCAAACTCAGGGCTGTGAGCAAGGAATTGCACTCTCTTGGCCGTGGCTCCATTCATACAGCTGAGGAGGAAGACCCAGCCTACTCTGGCCATCTTTGATTCTAAACTGCATATCCTTGAGAAGAAAGGACTATGTCAGCCAGGGAGATGTTCCCAAGGTCACAGGAGGTACCTTTAATAATATCTTAACTTGAAGGGCTTACAACTGAATTTCTCAGTGAAGAAAGAAAATCCCCACGTTTCACAAAAGGGAACTAAAATATCAAAGCAGAGTCAAGGGGACTCCCACATTCAATAAGGAGCAGCCGCTGTCAGTGGAACAATGGCTTTCAGTTTACCACTGAGTGCCTACTTGCCACGGTCTCTAAGCCTGACTGCGATCTCATATGGGCTGTGTCCTTATTTTATAGATGAGTTATGGCTCAAATGCACCTTGTAAGTACCAGGTAGAAATAAACTTTCATTCTCCTTCTATGTGGCCACTAACTGGCTGCTGGTTGCATATCTCCTTTGCCCTGGGAGACAGGACAGCCAGCCTTTACAGAGCAGAGTAAAGTTGTATGTCCCACAGTTGTATGTCCCATACAAACATTTATTGAGCACTCATTGTATACCAGGCTATGTGGTGGACAAAGAAATCTACCCCTTGTCCTCAAAGAGCCGACGCTAACCCGGGAGTCACACTGGTACACAGAGGACAAATGGATGGCTAAATGACTGAACATACTAACGAATGGACAGACGGACATGCAGACAGTGCTCTGAGCACCAAAGGGGAACATAATACAGGGAGTGTCAGGATCACCAGGAAGCCGATACTGTGGGAAGGGAAGAGCATTCTAGACAACGGAACTGCTGGTGTGTGCATTCCAGCAATGGCATCGGCCAAGTGTGAGCATGGAAGCAGAGAGGACCCAGAACCTGTGAGGGGACACAAACTTGGGGGACTCCCATGCTCCCGTCACCCCTGAGGGGCCTCAGCTGGTTGCCAGATGTAGTGCACCCTTGCTTCAGTCTGTGTCAGGCAGGAGCAGGCCTTGGTCTGAGGACAGTGGCCCCGAGGTGGCAAGGGAGTCTAGGCGAGAACAGTCATGACAGACAGCGCTGTGCCAGGGTCAGTACCAGCGCTGGTGCTACACAAGAAGCCTCCCCTGTCCTGCATGAAGTACCAGGCTCTTCTAGGGTTAGAAGCCGCCAGCTACAGCCTTATCTTTTCTTTTTGACTGAAGGTTTAATTCCCTTCAGCAAGTGTGTAAACGGCACTGACAACACATATATCTCTGGCTCTCCAGCAGGGGGGAAACAAACTGGGAACTCTCCCATCTTGTTCCATCATCTGGAATAAGGTAGCACGGTGCTGGAAAAGTCACTAAATATGAAAAAGCTCAACAACATGCTAAAGTCAAGAAACAGACAAAAGAATCTTGCATGTCCATTCTCAGCCTTCCTTACCCCTTCACTAATGTGTGTTGCTCTGTAAAACTAAAATCTAGGTGTAGACCCAGATCAGATATGCTTGGCACGAGTAACTGTGACCTAATCAGTAGGTGCCCCTCCCCACCAAAGTTCATCATGGCGTGTATGAGAAAGTACTTGCTTAGCTTGTACAAGGCCCTGGGTTCTGGTTCAGTCCTCGAAGACAGGCAAAAGGAAAAAGGGCATCCTGGACATGATGACCTATAACACCAGTACTTGAGAACCAGAGGCAGGAGGATGATGTAAGTACAAGAGTTCAAGTTCAAGGTCATCCTTGGGTACACAGTGAATTAGAGACTAGCCTGGGCTACATGAGAACTTGTCAATCAAAAAAAAGGCACTAAGAAAGTAGAACAGGAGGCAAGGAATACGTTATGGAGCTGGACATTTTCCTTGTACTCTAACCTGCTCAGCTAACCATTCATAAAGGAATAATTTCAGAGGCCCTGAACACATGAAGCACAAAAACCTAGAAGCCTTCAGAGAAATCCAGGGATTCTTCAAGAGAGGGCAACACGGATTTCAGAGACCAGCCTGAGACATCACAGAATGCAGAGAAATCACTGGGACAGTTAGGAAATGGAAGAAACCCTTCTGTGCTGCTTGACAAGGTAGTGGGAGCAGAGAAGGTGAGTGTGATGCCCAGAGCAGGGACCCCGTTACCCCAGCATCTACGAGCTCACACTTCTCAACTCTGTAAGGGAAGAGGCACATTCGGAATGGACCTTTCAGCAACAGAAATGCTGTGCAGAAAGACACGGGTTCTAGCCTTTGCGGGGTCTAGCCTTTGGTCCCTGATGCTCCTGCCGAGCTGATGCACCTTCCCATTTGTGACATACCACGCAAGATGAAATGCCACCACTTGCTTTCCTCGTTAGCTGGATTTGGCCGCTGCTACTGTCTGGTTGGGAGTGGTTATAGCTGCTGGGAGATGGTCCATCTCTGGAGCGTCAAAGAAGTAAGCCTGCAGGGAAAGACACGCACGAGGGAGCCGTGTTAATAGCCTTTGGGGCCTCTTCTCCCCAGTCATATTTGTTATCACACCAAACTGTAGCCACCTCTCTGTGTGTCTCCCTGACTCAACCTTTTAACACTTAGCTCCGTTCACTGGACGCACTATGCTTATGTTGCATGCCTGACTCTTCCCACCGACCTTGAGGGGCTGTTACAATGATCTCACGGGGCAGGTGTGGAAACAGAGGCTGTCCCTGGATAAGTGAGCATGGCGTGTGAGCAGTGGAGCCAGGACTTAAATAGGAGTGTGGCAAGAGCTTCCACTCACATCCTTAGCTGCCAAGAACCAGGAGGAGGTGGTGGGACGGAGGAGGCAGCAAGGAAGATCTTCCCTCCTGCCTTAAGGTCGGAGGACGATAAGGTTAGCCCAGAAAAACACCCATCTTGTTAGCCTTGAGCTCCCCTTCAAAGGGAGGGTGAAGCTGTTACTATACCAAGGGCCACTAGATACTCAGGATTCCCTTGGCATTGGTGGCTCAGGAAGAAGCAAAGGTAAAAAGCCATTTTCAGCAGCTCTGCCCTTATTAGCCAGAAGAGGGCGCCAACACAACACACTTGGGCTTCCCAGCCAGTTCCAACCTTCATACTTAACAGATCTTTCTTTAGTGTGTCTGCTTTTCCCCCATAAACTCCCTCCAGCTTATCACAGCCTCGAAGCAAACCTACGTTTGAAGGTTTTTCTTGCAGCTGTTTTCTGGCACAAAGGAAAGAAATTCTTCTACTTGGGGGACATGAGGAAGACAGAGGCCAGAGTATCTATATCATCCTTGGCTCCTCCGGAGGGACCGCCAGTGACAGAGTGGCTCTCTTCCAGGCCACTTGAGGAAATGCTCTTCAGGACTCTATGGGGCTCAGAGATGAGCAGACTAAGTTCCTCATATGCACTAGCTACTAACACTGTACCTCTAGACAGCCTCTCTTCCTCCTCAGTTTTGTCTGTTAAAAAAACAAATCTCTAAAAGGCTTTGTCTCCTAGCCTCTGCACAGCCTGTGATGTGGCACAGGGTCTGTGCTCAGCCCAGCCTGAGGCACTGTGGTCAGTAGGTACCCTTCTCTCTGAGCTCAGTGGTAATCATTCAAACGTAGGCTTGTCTGATTCTCGACAACCCACCAAGGACCCACGCTCTGTGCTTCCTTCAGTGTCCCTGGCAGGTGTGTTCAGTGAAGACCTGGAGATCACTTTCCAGTGCAGTCACCGAGGGACCTTGGCAGATGTGAGGCTGCCACATACATCACTGCACCGAAACCAAAGCACTAATCCACAGTTCCCAGGGGAGCCGGAGAAAGCCGGCTAGGCTGTCTGGTTCAGCTGGTGCCCTCAGCTCCAGTGATTCCCCCGCCGACTCCTCCCACCACTTTCCAACAATAATAATAATAATAATAATAATAATAATAATAATGTCTTCGGACTACATGGACAGTTTTCTTTCTTCCTCTGTATGTATGTGTCTACGTGTATGTTTACCTGTGTGTGGTGTGTAGGTACACATGTACATGTGTGTGCAGGCCAGAGCACAACCTCAAGTTTATTCCTCTGATACTATCCTCCTCCTCCTCGAAAATCACACCAGGTCCCCCTCACACGAAGGCAACGCAGGCTAACACTGAGCCTCACCTGTCTCCATCTCCCCAGTTCTGGGGTTACAAGCATGCACCATGGCCAACTCCTTTTATGTGGGCTCTGGAAACTGAACTAGGTTCCTCTGAAAGCCCTTTACCAGCTGAGCTATCCTCCCAGCAATCCCCTGCTCATAAGTCAAGGTCTTGTTTTATACATCTGAACGGCCTGGAACTCACTATGAGACCCAGGCAGGTCATAAACTCGTGGAAACCTTCTTGCCTCAGCCTCCTGAGTACTGGGATAACCAGACAGACCTGTCAGAATTTTCATGCTGCAAAACTTATCCAAACCTCCCAAGAGGACAGACAATGCTACGATGTGCATGGTCAGTTCCTGTATCTAAGGAAAGAAAAATGCGTCCACAGCAATAGCCAAAGTGCGGGTGTGGGAGCTGGACAGGATCCCCAACTTCCTCTATAACCAAAGTGTGGGTGTGTGAGTCGGACAGGACCCCCAGCCTCCTCTGTTTTGATTACCCCTTCTCCAGAAGAGAAAGGAGGAACCATGTCCAACACAAAGAAGACAGTTCAGACACAGGGCTCTGGCTTAACATTTGGCCATCAAGGGCTGTCTGCTCAGGAGAACACAGTGGCTTCTCCTCAAGAACAGCCCTTCTCCCAGCAGATACTTCTGGTCCAGAGTCCAGCACGCCCTGATTAGGAGACTTTTCAGAGCTGGAAGAAGGTGACTTTCTCCTACCTCTGCCTCTCCACCAACTTCTCAGGCTTATACAATGTGATTGGTCAGGTCAGAGACGGTCCAGGGAGAGGGAAGGGCACAGCCACCGTCTGACACAAGAGCCTTGGTCCATGTATGAGCTGTGTGACTTGGGTCCCTCCTGTGAGAGCATTAGGTTATAAACTGCACAGAGTGGCCCTGGATCTGCTTATGCCTCTGACACTTATGTAAAGGTGGGGTTTCCACAGCCTGTCACCTGTCACGGAAGCCCGGAAAGAAACGAACTGAGGTCGTGACAGTTATGGTGCCTCAGTTTACTATGAAGCACCTCCCAGGTCAGGGCTCTTTCTGCTTCATAATAATGCTCTCTTTTAGAGAGTTACTTATTTTACTTTTAAATGATATTTGTGTGTGAGTGTGTGTGTGTGTGTGTGTGTGTAACCAAGGACATAGTGCATGCTTGGAGATCAGAGAACAATGGAAAGAAATGTGGTTCCCTCCTTCCATCGTGTGGGTTCTGGAGACTGAACTCAGATCATGGAGCTTGGCAGCAGGCACCTCTAATCACTGAACCAGCTCATCTCATCGGCTCTCGTCCAGAAAATCTTGAGCGGCACAATGGGCAGGAAAGTTCTGCCTTCAGAAGTGTTCTGATGCGTCATGGGCAGATCCTGAAGGTCCTGACACAGGTGCCATGTAGTTTTTGTTTATATTTGTTTTAGGTAAGGTTTCTAGCCTGGGCTAGTCTCCACCTCCTTAGGCAGCTGGGGACAATGTTGAACTTTGGCTCCACCTGCCTCTACTTCCCAAACAAGAGAATTACAGGTACATACCACAACACTCTGTTTTTGTGGTACAGGGAAACAAACCCAGGACTCTCTGTTGTATCAACAAAGCTACATTCCCAACCCCAAAACAAGTTCTTATAAATTTTATTTTGACTTTATTTGGGTAGTGTGTATGTGTGTGTGTGTGTGTGTGTGCGCGCGCACGTGCATGCGTGCATTGAGAGAGAGAGAGATGCAAAAAGTGTGCAGATTCATGCATGCCACGTTTCACGCAGAGAACATGCAGAACATCATGTACCTTCACCTTACTGGCTTGAGATACGATCCCTCACTGAGCTGTGAGTTTGCCACTGGGCAAATCTAACTGGCCAGTGAGCTCCCAGGATCAACCTGCCTCCAAGCCCCAGGGCTGGAGTGACAGGCACATGTGGCCATGTCCAGCTTTATTTTTTTTCTTATAAGTCAGGGTCTCACTATGTAGCTCTGGCTGACTTGGAACTCACAGAGATCTGCTTGCCTCAGCCTCCCAAGATCTGGGACTCAAGGTGTGCACCCACCACGCCCACATCCCTGGCTTTTTATGTGGGTGCTGGGAATTCAGGCTCAGGTCTTCGTGCTTGTAGAGCAAGCGAGTTAACCCATTAGGCCATATCCCTACTCCTCCTAAATGGGTTCTTCTTCTTTTTTCCCCATTTATTTATTTATTTACTTATTTATTTATTTAATGTGTAAAGGTGTTTCACCTGTATCACTGTACGTGAATCACAAGTGTCCCTGGTGCTCGGGGAGGTCAGAAGAGGGTACTTAAACCCCCTGGAACTGAAGTTACAGACGGCTGTAAGCCTCCATGTGGCTGCTAGGAACTGAATCTAGGTCCTCTGCAAGAGCACCAAGTGGTAACAGCAGAGCCATCTCTCCAGCACCAGAAATGGGTTCATAGTAACAATGATATCATCCCTGATGATGATGATAATGATGATGTCATCCCTGATGATGATGATGATGATGATGATATCATCCCTGATGATGATGATGATGATGATATCATCCCTGATGATGATGATGATGATGATGATGTCATCCCTGATGATGATGATGATGATGATATCATCCCTGATGCCAGATCCCTGCTTCCCTACTCAGTGTGCCCTGCTCCTCTCTAGTGCTTCCTGATTATAAAACAGCATTTCCTTCTGCCTCCTCCTCTTCTTCCTCTTCTTCCTCTTCCTCCTTCTCCCCTTCTCAGCCTACCTAAGAATGTTAAAAACCCAGAGGAGGTGGGAAGCTGTCAGGGGAGGCAGTATAGCTAGGCGGTTACTGAGGAAAGAAAGGATGCTCCTGCATGGACAGAAGGGCTGAGGGACACTGCCACACCCCAAGAGCTTGGACACACTTCCTTAGGAGGACCCACAGTCAGACCAGCTCTCTAGGCAGTCAGTGGATCTGTTCTGTAGCACATTCTTCCTGTGCCTTGCTTTGTTTGATTCTGGGGTCAACCTGTGGCAGGAAGATGCCAGTCACATGACAGATGAAGCAGTAGTTTTCAGGAGCACAGAGCCACAGCCAAGCTCACAGAGCCACCGCATGACAAAGCTGGTCTCCTACCGGGCCTGCATGACTCAAAAGCACATGTGGTTCCCAAAAGGTCCCCAGGCACAGGGACTCAAATAACCTTCACACACTATGCACCTTAAAAACAGCCCAGTTGTCTGTAATTGACCCCAGTCTTAAGCTTTCCACCCATGAAATCTTTTTTTTCTTCTTCATTCTAACCAGCTGTGAAACTTTTAATGTCCAGCATCTGTCTAGGTGTGCACAGGAAACCAAAAAGTCACCAGAGCCACACCCTGCTCCCCAGCCCCATACAGAGACATGAGCACTCACACCTCCCTGGCACTGAATCCTTTTTTGTTTGTTTCATTTTTCAAGACAGAAGTTTCTCTGTGTAGCCCTGGCTGTCCTGGAACTCACTCTGTAGACGAGGCTGGCCTTGAACTCAGAGATCTGCCTGCCTCTACCTCCAGAGTACTGGGATTTAAGCTGTACATCACCACTGCCTGGTTTAAACACTGAATCTTAGCCACATCACAGAAACAAGGAAACCCAGACATTACAACCAAATCCCCACTTTTACCACACCTTCCCTTCCAGGACATTCTTGATGTTTAGTTCATAGGGTCAGTTTTAAAAACACCAATGTCTAATAAGCTTAAGGATTTTGCAGAAAAAAATGTTGACATTTGTGCATGATACACACCCACAGTGTCGGAGAGATACCTTGTAAGGTAAAGGTGTCTGCAGGATCCCCAGAACCCACACGGTGCAAACAAAGAACTGACTCCTGAAAGTTGTCCTCTGACCTCCACACGTGAACTGTGGCTTGCACGTGCCTGCACTTGTACATCCAAGATAAATAAATAAGTAGAGTACCAAGCAGGTACAGTAAGAACATACCAAGCAGCCCACAGAGAGCAGCACATGAAGCAACAAGATTGTCACAATGGTGGCCAAGGCGACACGCCGGTTATCCTCACGAACAGCTGGCCAAAATGTCATTGCCAACACAGACCCTGAGAGGCTCAGGGCAATCACGACAAGGACCCAACGAACCACTCTCTGGGGAATGATCCACAGTACCTGGGAAAGGAGAGAGCGTGAGGCGAGTTCCTCTGAGGTGTCTGCTCATTCCCAGCACATATGTTCACAAAGCTCCTGAGCCGGTAGTCAGCAGTTGGGCATGTACTGCCATGTGGCTCTGCAGAGCACGCTAGCGGCATGCAGACAGATGCTGGCTTAACCAAGAGCTCCCGACACAGCCAAAGCTCTTGCCTTCCCAGCACCCATTCATCCTGCAATCTAAGTTCAAAAGGAGCCTCCAGGGGCGTGGGAGCATTAGGCTGGAAATAACAAGGCCCTGTGGAATACTTTGTTGCATTTTCTAATTTTCCGCCCAAAACAGCAAGGCTCTGCCTACTCGTCCGTGTGGTACTTACTGCTGTGGGGATATAAATGAAGAGCGAGTAGCCGTAGACACACACGATCTCCAGAAACGAATAGGAAACGATGCTCATCACTTTGCTGTTTCTCCACAGGAGGAAGCCCCAGAGGGCCAGAGGAACCAGCCAGGCATAGGCGTAGATGACAGTTGCTGCGATGGACACTGTGGACGACAGGGCAGTCCCATCAAGCCTTTAGCAAGCTCACTGTCAGGGTGTTCACATACTTTTCCTGGGCCCAGCACACAGTAGGTGCTTTATGAACATTTGTTGATCGAATGAATCCTTGGCATGTGTCTTTGTGGTAGTGACTAGTGTCTCCCATATGGTTTTATAATGGACTTGGTGACTAAAAACTTCTAATAGAAACAACTGAATTATGTAACTGAAATACTTCAGAGAGCCGTACTAAAAGTGTCTAAAGATACTTAGCTTTTGGATCAAATAAAATCCAACTACCCCCTTGGAAGAACACGTTTTTCCTCCCTAGCAAAACAAGAGCTGACACTGATTTCTTTAGCAAATGTATTAAAATGCCCTGGGTGCAAATTAACTTGTTCTGCATGCCACCGAGTGATCCGTCTCTAAAATACGGAGCTCCAGCTCGGAGGCCTGAAATATCTCCACGCTAGTTTCTTCCCACATAAATAACTCTGTCGGGGGTGGAGGCGCTTGTTAGCGGCTCCTGGGAACCACTGCTGGCTGCTCTCCTGGTCTTCTGTCCTCTCCTGAAGAGCAGCATTCCCAGGACTGCCCTTCCTTCTGAAGTGACAATCCTAGAGCATGCTAAACCAAGGCACCTGCCCTTCCAACATGAAAACTGGCAAATAATTAAATTAGCACCTCCCACAAAAACAGGCCCCTCCTGGTAATTACAGCTGGACTCTGATTAAAGCATGTTGTTCAGATGCCTCGGAGGTTCCATAGCAGGTCTCTTTTTTTTTTCCCATGTTGGAATGGCCTTATTGAGCCACATGTAGCTTTGCTGACATAATTCCTTTTCATTAGGTAGGTAAGGAGGGGAAGGAGATTCTACCTTGGCTGTAGCCACTGCTTATTAAGCACTGGCTGGATATCAGACACTGCATTCAGAGTTTTATTGAGAGGCAATGTGGTGTCTAAGACAAAGGGCCCTCCAGGCCGTAGGTTCTAATTCTAGGCAAAGCAAAGCTGGGTAGAGAATTACATAAACTTCCTGCTTCAGTTTTCCTGTCTGCAAATGGAAGGAAGATTACCTTATGAGTCTCTTAGGAGAATCAAACAAGTAAGCACAGGTATGAACTATTCTAAGCAGTGACTGGCATATAATACACACTCAAGGGTTAGATATGGGAGCTGGAGATGGCTTGGCAGTTGAGAACACTAGCTGCTCTTCCACAGAACCCAGGTTCAATTCCCAGAACTGATATGACAGTTCATAACCATCCAGATCTCCAATTCCAATTTGATTCCCTCCTCTGACCTCTTAGGGCAACAAGCAAGCCAGTGGTACACAGTCATACAGGCAGGCAAAACACTCGTTCACACACATAAAATTTAAAAATAAATAATTAAGGCTGGTTATTGTGGTGCATGCCTTTAATCCCAGCACTCAGGAGGCAGAGGCAGGCAGTGCTCTGTGAATTCAGGATGAGTCTGGTCTACATAGTGAGTTCCGGGACAGTCAGAGCTATGTAGAGAGACCCTGTCTCAAAAATAAATATATAAAAGTAAATAAGTAAAATAAAATAATGATCTTTTTAGCCAGGCATGGTATCAGAGGCTGTAATCCAAACACTTGGAAGGTAGAGGCTGGAGGACCAGGAACTCAAGGCCACCCTCTAATACACAGTGAACTGGAGGTTAGCCTGGGCCACATGAAGGCTTGTCTCCAAAGAACAAGGACTGGTAATGGAGCAGAGTGGCAGGGATGCTCCAGACCCTGGGTTCAATCCCCTGCACCACACACAAGGTATTATAACTTGAGTGTTAATGATACACACACATGCCTGTAACCCAAATGCCTGGGCGGTGACGGCAAGACAATTATAACTTCATGAGCTGAACTATATAGCGAACCATGTTAAAATCAGAGCCACCACTTTACATTATCAGCACACATACAGACGCAGTGTCTTGTATCATCTGTATTTTCCCTTCAGAGAGGAAAACGGGATGAAAGCAGACAAACGTTTGGATCAAGGTCACACATGAGCTGACAAGAGTGGGATCCAGTGTCAGATGTGTCTCATACTTAAACAGTGTTTACATTTATTATTAATGTGTGTGTATGTGATGTGTATATGTGTGTGTGTGTGTGTGTGTGTGTGTGTGTGTGTGTGTTGCTGAAAGCCAACCTGTCAGGAGTCAGTCCTCACTTTCCACTGTGGTTTCTGAAGATCAAACACACAGTGTCCGGCGTGCATGACAAGTACTTTACCAACGGAGCCAACCACAGGCTTAGGACTCATACTCTTTATGTAAGATGAGAAAACGTTCATGGACAGAGTGATGATTGTCTTACTGGTGTTTAAAGCATCACGACTGGAATGCCCAGCTTAAGGGGATAACAACAGAGAAGGACCTTCCTGTGTTCCAGCTCCCCCTCAGGCAGGGCAGGTCGCTCTGCTTGGTCAGTAGCTGTACACAGACCTGCAATGTGCAAGTTAACTACTTGACACAGTCACTGTCCTGCTCTGTTAACCACTGAGCTACTTGCACATAACGTCCATGCCAAGGAACGTGTTCCAAGTTTACATTCAAATGAAAGGTTTTAGTAAACGGAACTGAATCCATGTCTAACTCCATGTTAAAAGGGAACAGAAGAAAAGAAAGAGGGTAAAAAGGGAGAAAAAGAAGGATACATGGTCTCTCTCTCATACACACACACACACCACACACTCTTCACACACATATACACACATATGTCTCACATACACATATACACTACACACTTCATATACATATACACACATATCACAGACACACACCTCTCTCTGTCACACACACACACACTGCTCACATGCACACCTCTTTCTCACAGACATACACCTCACATACATATACACATATCTCTCTCTTACATACACATACACTTCTCTCTCACACACACCTCACATACACACATACACACACACACCTCACATACATATATACACATCTCTCTCTTACACATACACTTCTCTCTCTCTCTCTCTCTCTCTCTCTCTCTCTCTCTCTCTCTCACACACACACACAGACACACACACACACACACACACAGAGGAGGTAAAATAAGGAAAGACACTATAAAGCAAGAAGGTCATTTACAGGCTCCAACTGGGGTCACGTTCTGTGTGGTCCTCTCCAAGTCTTGACCACTGCAGACAGACTTGTCATTAGCAAAACTGCCAACATCACAGATCCCTGGCTGGCTGAGTTACTGATTTCCCATAATGCTCTAGGTGCTTTATAATTAGTGGTTACGGGCATCATCTAGCTGAGCCATCAGAACTTAAAAGAACAATGCCTCTGTTGTTTCTAATTGCTGCATAATGCGAACACTGCTACAATCAACGCTTCGTGCACACTGTATCTTTTTAAAGTAAACTCCAATCAGTACTCAGTCCAACAGTTGCCCTAAAGGTAATATAGATTTACAACACTGTGGATATACTGTGCCACGGAGCAATATACACTTAGGACTGAAAGTTGTATGCAATAGAGTGTAGCCGTGCCGGGAAGACTGTGGGTTTGTACAGATGGGTGGTGGAGAATGCTGACGTACAGGCTGAATTTGAGAGCTGAGATGCAGTGCAGAAACTGGACGATGTGCTCGGGGTAAAAGCGTGCAGTCAAAGGCAGGCCGAATTCAAAACATGGAGTCAAACTATTCACCTACCTTTCTGGAATTCGGGCACATAATGGTATGTCTTCTCTCCCAGATGGATTAAGAAGTTAGAAAGGTTCCCACTAATTGCTATGGCAAAGACCAACGTGGCACATATCCAAAAGGGGCCTGCAAAGCAACCAGAAGATGCAGAAAGGGAAAATGAAGCACTTGCTGTGAGACGCTTTCTGAATCATTTTTTTCCAGCCTCTTCCTGGTCATACTTTTTTTCCCTAAGATTTATTTATTTTATGTATATGAATACACAGTAGCTATCTACAGATACACTAGAAGAGGGCATCGGATCCCATTACAGATGGTTGTGAGCCACCATGTGGTTGCTGGGAACTGAATTCAGGACCTCTGGAAGAGCAGTCAGTGCTCTTATTTCTGATCATGCTTGAAGCAAGAGAAAAATAATTTTAGATGCAATCAACACTTAATGGGAATGTTCATTTTCCAAAGGTCGGAACCCGACTCAGTAATTAGATGCCTGAAAAGCTGGAGAAATCAGAATCCATAGGTGAAAAAAGTCCCCACCTGAGCGAATGGAGATGTCCTTCACTAAAGGATCATCAAAAATATGCAAGCATTTTTGCTAACATCAGAGGACACATGGGTGAACCAGTCAGGTCCTCCTGCATTATAAATGAAGAGCAGTGCAAGAAGAAAACCTCAAGAAAAAGTCAACTTCGGGGCAGTAGAAATGGCTCACTGGTTAAGAGCACTGAGTTTTCTTCCAGAGGACCCAGGTTAGATTCCTAGAACCCATACAACTGCCCATAATTCCTGATCCAGGGGAATCTGATGCTCTTCTGACTTCTGCAGGACCCAGGTACGAATGTGGTACACACACATGCATGCAGGTAAAACACACACACACAATGTCTAAGTATATACATATATATGTGAGATCTTAAGAAAACAGATCTATGACATAGTTAATCACCATCATTGTGTGAGCACGTGTGTGTGCATGCTTGTGTGTGTCTTGTGTCTGAAACATACAGAGATAGTCAGAGATGGAGACACGGTTAAATGCTGTCATCTCTTCTTTTTGGACAAACTTACATGCTTAAAGTTGTATGCATGTATATAATGTACAGTGACCACTCTCATGCCCCACCCTCTCCCTCTCCCTGTCACCCATCTACTCCTTCTTCCCTACACATCTCTCTCACATTGGTGCCTTTCTGTCCTGTTCTACACCAAGTTTTGAGTTTAACCAGGGCTATCCACGTGACCATGTGCTGGGAACTGTCCTCCTTTCTCTTTCTAATGAAAAAGTAATCCACCAGCTGGACATAGTCCATGCCTGTAATCTCAGCAGTCAGGAGGCAGAGGCAGGAGGATTGCTGCAAGTTTGAGACCAGCTTGGTCTACATAGTGAGTTCCCATGCCAGAGAGCCAGCCTCAAAGACCCTATTACACAAAAAATAAAATAGTGGTTCCAAGTTCAAACAGAATACTGGAAAAGAGCAAGCAAGCTTCCCTCCCTCTCATGTCCCAGCTGACTCTGTTCCTAGTGAGTCCTGCCAGAAATAGTCAACACAAAGCCAGGCAGAGGTGGCACAGGCCTTTAATCCCTTTAATCTGGAGGCAGAGGCAGGAGGACCTCTGTGAGCTCTAGGATACCCAAGGATACACAGAGAAACCTTGTCTCAGAAAGAATAAAAGTTTTCCTTTAAAGTATTACAAGTCTTGGAAGACAACTGAGTTACTTAAAAGCCCACCATGACGATCCGTGTTTGGTTCCCTGGCACCTCTGTGAAAAACCACACACAGGAGGAGCACACGCTATAGGAGCACATGCTGTAATGCCAGATTTGGTGGAAGGAGGGTCAGGAAGTAAAGACAGGTAAATATTTGAAGCTCCCTGGCCAGTCAGACTAGCCAAATAGATGAGCTTCAGATATAGTGTGAAACCTGACTCAAAACAAACAAAACAACAAAGGAAGCTGGGCAGTGGTGGTACACTTCTTTAATCCCAGCACTCAAAGAGGCAGAGGCAGAGAGGCAGAGAGGCAGAGAGGCAGAGAGGCAGAGAGGCA